AGTAGAAATGTTTTCTTGATTCCCAAAAGAATGATGGAAATACAACTCTTAGTTCTGAAGTACAGCATACTTATGCTCATGAATAATTTGTACATTGCCTCTGGCTACGACTCAATGGGAACAATTCCATAAATAAATATGTATAAAAGGCCAACTGACTAAACAATGGCGTGTGGAAGAAATTGTAACCTGGACGACCTGAAAATAAATACATTTCTGAGAACAGATTTATGTGAAGTATCATCTGCCTCTTCCCTTTGGAGAAAAATGTCTACTAAATAAATAAATGTAAATTAAATTCTCAGCAGCAAATTCTTAATATTTAAATACGTCAATACTTTAAATGCCTGAAATGTGTAAAGTATGTTTGTATAATATTCTCTTTTTTAATATTCGTGCAACATGAAAAATGAGCGGTTGCTACGATCTCATATCAATGGCCTTTGTCACCATCTAGTGGTAAATAATGTCAACTTAGGTTTTGAGATCATCAAACCACGAAAACAAAAGTAAAGGTGAATAATCTTTGTATAACCGTCTTTAAAATCACGGGAAAGACCTGAAAGAACCCATCACTGCTAAGGACTATGAGTTATTCTAGAACCCGTCTCCAGGATTTACACTGAGCAGAGATCACCCTATTTGCACACTGACCCTAATCTCTTTAATTATCTTACTGGTATAGCCTTAAGCCTATTCCTCTTACAGCGTTGCACTGCAAGTCTACACCAGGCAGCCAGAAAAAGAGAGAGTGGCTAACAATTTTGCTCCTTTTATCCACTGGCGAATGATTCGGCAAAATCAACTCCATAGGATGCCCTCAAAATTGGTAAGAGCAGCAGTGCTTGGATGGCTTTCTAGCATTTGCAACAGAGGTGTACGTTTCTGGTATTTACAACACCTAAAAAGGCTTATTTATGAAGTTATGTAATTAATTACAGTAGATCATGCGCAAGAACTTCCTATGATAGTTTAGTTTTCATTATGAAAGTTTTCATTATAAACGCAAATATATATGATTATTCGCTTGAAAGCTCTTTTAATGTTAAAATAAAAGGGCTATAACTAAGATTTAAATGTAGTATGGTTCAAAAATACAAGCAAAATTACTGTTTTATTTATTTAATTTTTAAAAAGGCAGGTGAATTAAAAAGAACTATGCTCTCCAGTGACTTATGACCGTAAAAAAATGTAAAATGTAGGTTTATGAAATTTCTTGATTTTGTTTTTTTTTTTTTTTAAATAAATAAATATAGTCACAGTCCATTCTGAGTTGACAGTTGGAGTGTGAAATGTGTGTGTATGGTTCTTGTGGGTTTAAACTCTGAAGAAATAAACTAGCAACAAATTAATCAATTTTAAAAAGAAACAGTGGAATCCTGACAGATAAAGCCATTGCATGACTGAAATACGGGCCTCTGGTATCCTTTATGTTTGGCCCTTTCACCACCCACTGATGGGTTTCTCCTACAGATTGATTGTGATGGCAAAGTCTATGATGATAAGAAGTGAATGTTTCTGTTCTCTAGGGAGCTACTCGGACCGACGAACCACCAAGTGCTTCTGTTAAAAATGCTATGCCTCATCTCAGTGGCCATAAGCCAAGGATGGTCGCTAAAAATGGCAGCAATTCAAAACCACCTGACCTCTATCTGTCAACAGAGTCTAGGGAGAAGGCGGGGGCTCGGTTTACAGTCTCTAAAGCCCCCCAATGGGGCTTGGCACTCAGGGATTCCTTCCCAGAGCCGGAGAGGGATCACCAGCCACCCAGACGGCCACTGAAGTTGGCCCCACTGGAGTTCAGTAGAGAGGTGACAGAGTCCCAGAAGCAGAAGCTCAAGGAGGGTATGCAGGAAACCACTGCCAGTGCAAGGCAGCCGCAGGCAGAGGAGCGCGAGGCTGACCTCAGGAAGGCCAAGCCAAGTGCAAAGAACTGGTTTCCCAAGTCTCCTGATCACTCTTCCCACAACACACCTGGACAGCCCCCCAGGGCCCAAAAGTCTACCAAGTCACTCCTGCCGGCATTCCAGGTCAAGCAGAACACTGCACCATTGACGAGGGATGTTCCCCTCCCCCACACAGCCCCTTCCCCTGAGCTCCACACTGGAGCCCCTGGCAGAGTTGTGGAGCAGGGCAGGCAGGAGCCCGTTGCACGGCCGGATGCCAGCCTGAGGTACCAGAGGCTGCGCAGGGCTAAGGGCGTCGATGAAGACCAGAAGAAACCCAGAACACCGACAACTGAGGATGACGGAATGCTGCCCGCGAGGAACGCTATGGGCCAGCGCACGGAGACGATGCTGAAGGAGGCCGGCTGGATGCTGGACCGGTCCAGGAAGCCGAGTCACAAGATCGAGAACCTGAAAAAGCCCGGAAAAGCCACCTTGGACAACTAAGCAGCATCTGCCCCTCAAGTACAGCTACGGCTGCTAAGGAACCAATCAAAGGAAGCACCTTTTAGTTTTTTCGCTTATTTAAAAAGAAACATCTGTGCATTACACTATCCATCCTATGCAGGGTTACTATTAATAAAGATTTCATATTAAAGTATTAGTCATTTCTAAATTCTTACAGCAGATAATTACATAGAGTATTGAGATAAATATGGGTCACTGAGAAAGGCAGACGACTCTATTAAGGGTAGATGACATGTGTTACATTTCAGAAGGAGGACCGGGGGACATTTGAATAATGAAGCAATGAGGCCAAGAGGATATTTGAGACAAAGAGGACCAAATGTTAAAAATGTTGCTCAAGATGAATTAGTTGCACATTAGGGAATGTGAACTGTATGAAATATTAAAGTACAACTCTTGATCAATAAATGTGTTATTGTGAATGTTAATATTATCAAACCTGTTAGAGGAAGCTTATGTTGATACTCAATCCTCAGGGGAGGGCAGTCTGTTTTACCTATAGGAGGTTTCTGGGATTGTGACACTTTTTTAGGGACCGTGGTTTGTAACCTCCATCCATCCATTTTCTGTAACTGGTTATCCTATTCAGGGTTGCGGGGGGTCCAGAGCCCATCCCGGAGGCTACGAGCACAGGGCATAGAACAATCCAGAACGGGGCGCCAATGCAGCGCAAGCTATACCCAACAGAAATTAAATATACAAACAAATAAAAACTAGAGATTTATTTTCTATTCTGTTCTAAATTTACCAATAGCTACAAAACAATGCCTGGTGAGTATAATAATGTGTGTGTTTGACACCACAGTACCCCGTAGAGTATTGTGGAGAGGTGCATGGTGACTCAGTAGGTAGTAATGTCTCACACGCCTAAAGGTGGGTAGTGTATGATGGGGTACATGTACAGTATGTCCCCAGCCAGGGTGCCCCCCGGCCGTGTGCCCTATGCTTCCTGGGACAGACTCTGTGTCCCCCTGCAACACTGACCAGGATTAGTGGTGGATGGGTGGATAGATGGTATATGAATTATTGAACAAATACAAGATTTTTACTTTTCATTCACATCTGGCTCTTCTAATTATACAAGGCTCAGTTTGGTTTTTTGCAAAAAGGATCAACTACTGGAACATTTTCTTTTAATGGTTTTCATTTTAGTTAATTTATCCCAGTGTCTGTATAAACGCCTCACCTTTTCTGAAAGGCTGAGAAATGACTGACTGAGCCACTTGTGTGATGCCTGATCCGTGTCTGATCTGTGCATTAATGCCCGTCTCATTGAGGAAATGTTCTTCATTTAATTTCCATTATTTTATGCATTTGTAGATTCCCAACATTCAAGCTGGGTAAAGTTCATGTAGATAAATGTACCCTAATCAATCCTGAAGTCAAGTCAAATGGGCTTTATTGCTGTACCATCCATATGCAGGAATGGGCGGCATGAAATAACGTTCACCCAGGACCACAGTACAACATACAGATGATGGGTGATGAGGGGGGGGGTGGTTCTCTGGTTTCCCCCCACAGTCCAAAAACATGCTAAGGTGAGTTAGTGCTGACAGATTGTCCATAGGTGTGAATTATGTGTGTTCCCTGCGATGGGTTGGTGCCCCACCCTGGGTTGTTCCCTGCCTTGTGCCTGTAGCCTCTGGGATAAGCTCCGACCCCCTCCCCCCCCACCCCGAATACGACGAGTGGTTTCAAAAGATGGATGGATGGATATAAACCTGGCTTGAGCTAAAACACTTTTATTGGGCTGGCATTCACTTGCTGCTGCCTGATGCAGCCCGATCCTAGTGTCTCCTCCATCAGAAGCCTCAGAGACGCATTTGGTAGATGTCTGACCGCACCCAGCCTGTCACTGAAAGCGCAGATCTGCCGGGAGACATCGGCACTGTTCCCCACGTCGCCCGCTGCGGCTATAGTTAGACGGGACAATGACGGCTGCACCCCGCCCTCGCAGACGGACACTCAGCACTCTGTGTCTCTGTTCCCTGTAAGCAGTGCAGAACAGAAGCCTTGTGATGCAAACCAGCGCATTTTTGTGGTTCTCTTTTTGCCTTGATTCCTCATGTTTTGCATCAGTGAATATTTATCTTTTCTTGTGGTGTGTTGCAGTAGTCTTCAAATGCTCAACCTCACTTCACAATGCCCTACAAGCTGTCCACTGGTCATAATACACTGTATCGAAATGGATTGATTTAATGTTCAACAGTTCAGCTTTCAGATCCTTTTTGAGAGTATGAAGTTGTCATTGCAGGCTTTTTGCAGAAGGGGGCGCCTGAGAGCCTCTGGAGCTACCTTACTGGTAGTGAGACTCCTCCAGTCAAGGATCTGAAGTGGAGATGCTCATGTCTAAGGACCTATCCTCTAAAGCATTCCTTTGTGATAGTACACTTAACCTATAGCTCCCAACGAACGAACAGAAATGAACTATATCGCAATCCACACTTTGTGTTGGAAATATTTGATTAACGCTACCATTGACATTTTCCTTTAATTAAAATAGACTAATTACTAGTGTTATTATAGTTTTAGAGTGAATAGAGTGGAATCATGTTAATCCTTTGGAAGTACAGAATATCATTATGAGTCTGGCAGTCCACAAATGATAACAAGGACAAAGAATGAAAATTAATGAGAAAGGGAAGTTGATTGTCCTCCCACATCCATATAAGCACTTCCCCCGGTGGTGTGGACGTCCACGTGTGGGGACAGATGGACACGCCGGTCAACGTACCGATGTGGTGTGGGTTTCCTAAGCACCACGCCGACTGCCTGCCTCTCCGGGCAGCACTTCTGCTCGGTGCCATAAAAAGACAAAAATACCCAGAAAGTTAGTCTATAATTGGATGGAGCACCGTCTTTTTTTATGCCGGAGAGCCACCCAGTGAAACCCTACACTTTGACTGTGGTTCCTCCCATCTGAACCGGCCGTCCAGAGGATGGCGCAGAACCTCACCTCACTTTTGACAAGGCTGTCCACTGGATCCTGGCCCTGGATTAATCACCTGTAGGTCTTTCCTTCTGATAGAAGTGATCAGCGGTTTGGGCTCCCTGGGTGTGTGTCTCCTGAAGATGCTGTGATCCCACTTTTCTGGAAGCAAGTGTTCATGTAGGAGAGGAGGAGATTCACGAAGCCCTCCAGTCAAAGAGGAGGGTGGTTTACAATCCAGGTAAGAAGCATTGCTTGGGTTTCTTATTATCGCTCCACTTAGAAGCATTTTCTTGAATCGCTGTGATCGATTGTCAATGCTGTATGCTGCTGCACTTAATTAAAGGGGGTCACTCTGATACACGTGGAGAAGTCTGAGCATTGGTCAGGTGCACTGGGGATTGGGGGCAGTTCTGGCTGCAGTGGGGAAGAGGGATGTTATTTGCATTTTGCATTTCGTCTGATGTTATTGCATTTCGTCTGATGATGGAGAGGCGTGCTCTGGAATAGGCATTCGCAGGCCAGTCCCAGGTGTGTCATTGCTTGTAGGAATGTCCATCTTGCCAAATGATCAGGGAGGAAGGCTCAGCAGTGGGAGTCAGACATGCACTGTGAAAATTTGATTTAACTTTAAGTCGGTTTTTAAAACTGTCCAAAACGCAGCATAAAATTAGCTGCTCGTTTGCCTGCATCCTAATGGCCGCAAATGTCAATCAAAGCTTGCGTGTCTGTGGTCTTCGTAGGGACAGTGATGGAATGGGATCATGTGATATCTCAGCTTTATAATCTCCCAGCAAAGATCACATCTCTCATTTTTTTAATGCTTGAAAATGCGTGTGTAGTTACCTCATTTTCGCAATCTTCACATCTCCTGAGAAAGAAGAGTGTAATAGTGTTTTCCAAAGAGAGCTGGGGTGGGTGGGTGTTTCTGGAAAATCGGGCTTTACTGTTAAACACATTTATGTTTTTTGTTGTTGATGATGCCTTTTTAAGAGATTAAACTTTTTCTTTGTATATACAGTATATACATTCTCAATTTAGCATTCAAGGACACAGTACTATCAATAAATCACCTAGACAGTTACCGCTGAGAAAATTACAGCCTCGTTTGAAACACTGATGAAAAACTGAAAACCACGTTTGCGTATCGGTCTGTGAAATATGTTATTTACAGGGCAGGCACACGCAGCACAGCCTGCATGCCGAACCTGCGATCCGGCCTCACCCAGCTACTGTCGGCATGCATGTTAAGCTCATTAAGCTTGGCAAGCACATGTTTTTAAGAAGCTACAATATTTCTTGCAGCATATTCTGTAGACATACATTTTCCAAAAGCCCAAAGCTTCCTTGAGTGAAAAAACGTGTTGGGGTCATTTAAACTCTCAGCTTTGATTTTCAGAAAGATTTTGCTGAGTATGGGTTGTAAACAAAAACTTGACTTCAGAAACAAAAATAGTTTTAAAGGGAATCAATGTCAATACATGTAAATTAAATTGCATTGTTCTACAGACTGAATTCACATTCCTGATTTAAATTTTGCTGTTCTGTACGTTTTCTTTCAATGTTCTATCTCAGAATGCATACATGTTATACATGTTTTACAGTTATATAAGTCACAAACCGTGATTGCCCTCTAAATAATCTTGACCTATCACGGCATAGTGAGCTAGCTAAAGCTAGGGGCTCTTAGCCTAGCCATTAGCACTGTCTTATGTGCCACATTCATAATATTGGCTTTACATTCTATATCTACGGATTTGCCTGCCTGCTAATCCTAGCTAATCCTAGCTTTATTGCTGATCTAGACAGTAAATACAGCATTAAACACCGTCTTCAATGTTCGACACAGATATTTCATGAAAAAAGGAAACGCAGGTTATGTTGGCTTTCTGGAAAAGATGGGTGTTTGGTAGGTGTTCATCCCATGCATGATGATACATTGCTGCTCTAGCTGGCACATTCTCTCCAGTTCTCCAGTTCATGCCCACTCGTCAGGCTTCCTGGTACGCATGAAGGGTCATTATTAGTAGTTGAGCTTAACAGATAACTGCATTGTGGGAAGGCATGAATAATTATTGTGATAATGAGTGTGAATTGCTTGATGACTTCAAAATGTATAAATTGCTGTGGAAAACAGATTTTATTTTTTTCCTGCATTTACATAAATGGTGCATGAATAAGAAGAGGTCTACCATGAACCTCACAAATAGTCTTGGGAGGCTTGCTTAATTCAGTAAAAATGTTGCAAATTTATTGATTTCATCACAGAAGTCATTGATAAGCAATGTTTAACTTATTGGTACAGATCTTCCACACAGATGTTTTTTATATTGTGTCATAATTTTTTGTCTGACTCAGTCAGTTCTGTTCTTGTCATTTTGCCATTAATTGCAATTGTAGTCATTGACCCCCAAAGGGATACTAAACACAAATGTTTTATGTTATTACAAAGGTGTTACTAATTAAATAGCACCTAATGAGACTGCTCATCAATTAACTTTTTAACTCAGAAGAGCTCTTTTTGACCTATATTTTGGGTTTCAATTTCTTAATACTTCTGTTGATGTTAATGTGATATATCTTTTTTGTAAACAAAGGAATAATGTAATGAATTTTGTTATAAATGATAAATTGACAATGTTTTTCCTGAATTAAGCAACCATCCCAAGACTGTTTATTTACCAATTTACTATTTATAATGGGATGGTTACTAATTACCATGGGATGGTTATACATGACCCAGACACCAAAAGCATTCAGAAAGATAACTAACTGATTAATATATTTACTCTCTTTACTTAAGCTATTCTTTATGCTTTCCAGACCTCAAAGCAAACATTGTCGCCCTTTTGTATTGCCACCCATCACGTGTCATTAGTTTCCTTTCCCTCTTTTTAAATTGTGGTGGATGTAGGAGAGATTTGAGTGAAAATACCTGAAGCTCTTTCCAGAACATCTCCCCATCTCCTCTCTGTTGTGGGGGGGGGGGGGGGGTGATTTCTCTGAAGGGCCAGCTTTTCCTCCCAGCGTGTGCAACTCTGCGCTCTTTTACAGTTCAAAGTCCCCCCAAAATGTGGATTTTTGACCCTCAGAGCAATTTGAAATGCATTCAGCACACATACTGTGTTGTAAGTGCGTTACTCTGTGGTGGCCTGTGAGTGCCATTCAGTGTTATTTTCTTAGTTTATATAGCATGGGAGTGGCCAAACCACATGATCATAGGTTATATACACCAAAACCACATATACTGTAAATCTCCCAAACGACAGCTATCATAACCTTCTGATGACAGATATTTCATATATTCTTCATCTGATAGCTGCACATCTCTGAAAAAATTAAATTTATATACAAGATGATGTGATAGTAGGCATGGACGCAATGGTCATTATCAAATTTGCTGGTTATTTGAGAGGAGAGATGAATACAGTTATACTGTTTCTAAATGTGATTAAGAAACACGTCTGTCTTTGAGATCAGTTTTGGTTTATTATGTATATTTTCCTATAATTAAGTGCTACAATATAACTCATTTTGATATAGCTCAAACGCTGTAGACACTGACAGGCTACATCTGGATTCAGTTGCCTTAATATGTGACTATTCTTATCCAGCAATGAAAATGTACTCACTTGTTCTGCTAGTTTGCTAAAGAATATATGTATTTTGGTAAATGGTAAATGGATTGCATTTATATAGTGCTACTCTTCTGCCACTCTTTCGAGCACTCAAAGCGCTTTACAGTTATGCCTCACATTCACCCATCCATACACACATTCACACACCGGTATATTTTCAGTAGTGCTGTAATATTTCCTGTAGTGTAGATTTTCTACAGATTATTAAAATCTGGAAATGCAATACCATCCTAATATTGTCCGGTTAACAGCTTGGTTAGATATGTATTCCAATTCCATCGATGTTTCTGTAGGGGGGCTGTTGATGGTCAGCGCAGCTTCTGACAGGAAAGGCTTTGAAGAAACCCAAGATGGTATTTCGACTGGGACTTAAGATTTCTCAGGTCCTAATCATCCTTGCACTGACACTGTCAGCAGCAGATACCCAGAGGGCAGGTAAGGCTGATACAAAGTGTCTGTCACAATGAACGGCTGATGACTTAATTCATGCATATTTACTCTGCCCAAGCTCCTATTGGGGAGCCTCAGTCTAGGTACATCAACCCTGAATGAGCCAGTTGTGGAAAAGAACATTGGCCTGTTTATTGGTCATAATTAAGGCCAGCACTTAAAAGACGATTAAGCTTATTAATGTGTGAACTTCTTAGTTGCTCTGATGTCACTGAATAGGGAATCCCGAGATTCTGTCTGTGGAAGGAGTAAGTGAAGAAAATGAAAACCACAGATTGTTGGGTTTTTGAGAATTCATTTCAAATGAATGATAACTCATTATAATTACAATTACCATGAATTATAATTATAAAGAATCCATGTTAGGGGAGACACTATGAGCTACTGCAAGTTTTACAAGCTACTTTAAAACCAAAGGGCTCCTATGCTTGGCTGAACAGTTCAGCTCTTCTTGTGCTTTGACAGGTTTGATTGTTTTGTTGATTGAAAGACTCGTCCAGCTGTTTCACATTAATATTAGTGACACATGCATGCTTTCAGGAGACTGACCAATCAGCACGCAGCAGCAGCCCTGTGCTAAAGTGAAATTCAGCTCTTTTTAATTGAGATGGTTAGTTTACAAACCCTGTCGTAACTCATAGTGTCCTCCCTGACATGGATTAGGTAGTCACCCTAATTATAATCATTAATAAAGTAATGTTTTCCACAAAACAATGTAAGTCAGAGTTAAGACCCGCATATGATAACGTGTCTAATGGTATTTCTTTTCGCCCCAGGCTGTAAAAATGTCCATTATGACTTGGTGTTCATCTTGGATACGTCATCGAGTGTTGGCAAGGAGAACTTTGAGAAAGTCAGACAGTGGGTAGCTAACCTCGCGGAATCCTTCGACATCGGGCCGGATAAAACACGGGTGGCCGTGGTCCGCTACAGCGACCGACCCACCACCGAGTTCAGCCTTGGGAGGTACAAAACCCTGGAGGAGGTCAGGAGGGCCGCGAGGAGTATAAAGTATATCGGAGGCAACACTATGACCGGAGACGCCATCAGCTACATAACCACCAACATCTTCACGGAACGCGAGGGAGCCAGGCCTGCGGTCCTGGGCATCCAGAGAGTAGCCATCCTCATGACGGACGGCCGGAGCCAGGACTACGTGCTGGAGCCCTCCAAAGCGGCCCATGAGGCTGGGATCAGGATGTTTGCCGTGGGCGTCGGGGAGGCGCTCAAGGTGGAGCTGGAGGAGATCGCCTCCGAGCCCAAGAACGCCCACGTCTTCCACGTCTCTGACTTCAATGCCATCGATAAGATACGAGGGAGGCTCAGGAGGAGGCTGTGCGAGAGTAAGTACTGCACACCAGCCCTGCTCGAAACTGCGATGGATTTCTCCACAAACTGCATAAATATAATGCAGCAATATATGTGCTGTGACAACAGAGAACAAGATCTACCATTCCCTTTAAACCAGGGGTCACCAACATGGTGCCCGCGGGCACTAGGATGCCCCCGAGGACCACATGAGTCGCCCGCGGACCTGTTCTAAAAATAGCACAACTCACCAGTGAGCAGCGTCTAAAATAGTCATTGTTCATAAAATCATAAACGTGATCAATATCTTCACATAGATGAGTATCATTAATCATTAATAATAATATATAACTAAAGGTAAACTGAGCAGAATTGTTATTTAAGAAGAGTGTATCAAAATGGTAGCCCTTCGTATGGCTCAGTACTGAAAAGGTTGGTGACCCCTGCTTTAATCAATCACATTACTGAGCCACATTGCAAAAGTAAGATGTTTCTATAAGAATAAGTAATCTAGGCAGAGTAGATCAGTGTTTCCCAACCAGCACATTTCTGCTCCCCTCCCAGCTCCCTGCCAGATGGTCCATAACATACAGACACGAATACAGGTAGGAGCAAGTTTGGGGGTCACTTCATAGGGTCGGTCAGCACCCCTGGAGGGACTGGCTTTACAGGCCCTTACTCAAGGGCCCAACGGGGGCATTGAAATCATGGGCACAATGTCCCAACACCCCAGGTCAACTTACCAGGTGCTGTGATGACATTTTTAATAAAAATGACATTTTTAGCTGTGATGCCATTTTATAGGTGCCTTAGATATAATGTGATTTATCTGTAAGCATTATCTCCAGACAGAAGTTAAACATGACTTTTTCCTGTAGATTTGCCCATCAGTGTCACCCATAAGGCTGATTCTTACTTCAACTCTAATATTTTTTAAAAATTCTAATAAACAGCATTTCACTTCAGATACATATTATTGCAAATTATTTTTTAGTTTGCAAGTATTGGCTCCGGTGTGCAATGTGTGTGGTCAGAACGCTGTCCCTGTTATGTCTTAGTGCTCCTTTCTCTGAGTTGTATCTCTGTACTTGTATGAGCTGGATTATGCAGCAAGTTTCTGACTCTGCAATAGTTACAGGTCGCCTTTCCAGGGCCCGTGGCATTGTTTTTTATTAACAATTTGCATTGAACACTGAGCACTTACGCCTAATATTTTAACAAGAGCGCCCGCTGGTAACTGAATAAACCATCCACCAATAGAGATTTAAATGGAAAGAAAAACTTCCTTTCCACTTTGCCTTCTATTCCTGATCTGACATGTCAAGCATGCAACTTTAGTCTGAAGGATATATGTTCACGGGCAGAGTAAGATGGTAAAAGCCCGGCTCTGCCTCTGATCACCTTTGACCGTGATATTTTTGTGTAGTGTGTGAGGGGGCAGCTTATTTTCGTCCCGACCCATTCCATGTCCACGCCTGTACTTTTGCAGAAATAATGAGGGCATAATGACTCAAATTAGTCACTGCACTAATGACCCATAAACGAACAATAAATGCCTGTAAACAAAATCCAAGAAAAAATAACTTGCACATTGAGAAGGATACAGCTTGAGCCAAGCTTAAGTGATGCAGATAGTTTAGGGTTAATCCATGTCAGTGGCCTGACATGGGTTATGCATTCCTGGCTAAAGTTAGCTAGCTTGGAATGGAAACGTCCTTGAGGTCTTATTCAAAGCAATACGGTAGCCCTAAAAACCGCATAGCTGTTGCGCACCGGATTTTACAGTAAATTATAATCAATGCAAGAAACACTCCATCGTCACCTTAGTAATGAACATTTGAACTGTAGAGACGAACTCAGACTGTATTATGGAGATTCCTTATTGCAGGTAGATCCTTCGTACTTTATTTAAACTACGAGTCGATAGGGATTAATAGGGAAGGGTTTGAGCTTAGAAAAATAAGGCTGCTAGATTTAATGCCCCCTACCCTTGTTGGACTGTGAAGAGGCAGATACCCTCCTCAAATCTTTGCCTCCTTGGAAAAATCAAACTAGTCAAGATTATGAAAAATCCAGTGTAAATGTTTGCATTCAGCTATTGTGGTTAGCTGCTGCGATTCAGCATATGGTCAAAGGGTACCATCAAATCTAGGGCGAGTGTGTTGTACTGTGTTCATGCCATCTCCCCTTTCCAGTCTGTAATCTCTTGGACACTCTACACTTAAAGATGCACATCTAAGAATATCGGTGGCACAGAGAGGAACTTGAATGACCAAGTTATTTCTGTTTGGAAAATTACAGTTCTAATGTTTCAAGTATGTCTTGTTTCGTTTGCATTTTGCACGTATGAGTTTTTTGCCTTGTAAAACCACGGCCACCCCACAGCACGAGCATCACGGACAATCTCTAGATTGCTGACATTACTGAGCCTGCTTTTCATTGGTTTACCTTGTCACTTTCTCAAAAAGCGGATTTGTGTTAGACCTGCTTGCAATTAAAGGATGATCGGGATAATGCAAAAATATCAAACAGATTTTTTGACTGTTTTAATTAAGAATTTAATTAAAATTCATTTTTTTTAATTTTTCAATTTTTTCAATTTTATTAAAATAATTAATTTGAATAAAATATAGAATTTTATGAGGTCCATACTTCAGCGTGACTTTGTTTTTAACTTATTCTTAAGGATTGTTAGATAAATAAATGTAATATTTTCAGATCTCTATTGATTTCATATAAAAATGCATTTCTGCTAATGGTGATTAGTCACATAAGTATTAATTATATATTAATTTAAGGAGTTTGGGTGTCTTGACCCCTGTAAATTAACTCTAGGCTGTTAAATCTTGCTATGTTTTTCATTACTCTGCAGGAGTGACTTGTTATAACTGTATTATAAGATAAGGAGAAAATAACTTGTAAATAACTTTTCTCAAAGTGTAGTATTTTTGGCAAAGTAAAATGAACCAGATTGGGATACAAACTGAATTCCTTCCAGAATGTATGAAAGAGAGATTGACTTGGATTTTATAGAGGACAGAAAATGGGAAAATCTACCAAACATTGTACCAGTTAAAGCTTCACCCTAGCGAATCAGTAGTGGGGTTGTGGCCAAGTGTTTGCTTTTGTTTTGATTGGCTGGTTCTGCATCAGAGTCTCAGTGTTTTTAGCATGAGCAGATCTTTCCCAGAGGGACACCTGAGAGATACAAATGCATGAGCAGAGCCGGGGAGGCCGTCAGCCAAAATTCCCCTCTTCTTAATGAACACATGGCCGATTTAGACTGAACATGCGAAATGCAAAAGCAAGCTAAGAAGTGGAATAATTACAAAACGCACATAGTAGAGAATTGAATGGAAAGTACCCTGATATTTATGAACTCTTACTCTTTAAATACATTGTATGTCATTTGCCATTATTAGGCGGTGATTTATTTTTCCGCAGCAAACATTTTCAGGGACACGAAAATTTAAGAGAAACAAAAAAATCTTTATAAAAACAAAATCATAGTGAAGTGAAGTCTCTTGAACCCAACAAAGCCCTTTTTATAGCTGTGATTAAAGAAAATTACAGACTCTGATTGTATATGATTGTCAGATAGAGGCAGCCAGTGTGGTTTGAGAGCCTGCCTGGTTATTTTCTCCACTGCACACATTGAGGAATGAGGAAAAAGGACTTAAGTGAAGTGCACTTGTGCATGTGAGTGGAAGCAAGGCTCTGTCAGATAGCTGAGAGCCCCATATTTGGGAGGACAGGGAGGGGGGAGGAACAGAGACACTCTTATCCAATAAGGTCACTTCCTTTCAGACAGTCTTTCATTACAGGCCAGAAAGACCTCATTGCCGGCAGACAGCATCAACTGTAAGTCAGTCAGCTAACTCCCATTAAGAAAAAAAATATATTAATGAACCGTATTTAAGGTCAAAGTGAACCTGATCCACAGAGAATCACAGTTTAAAATATAAACTGTGGTGAAAGACGGGTATTTCTAGAAAGTACAGTTTGAGACGTTCATTTAGCCAAAGCACTGCATATCTCCAGTGGAACTTCATATTTACTCTGCCACTGAAGGCACTCTGTCCCTGGTTAAGGTGACACCTTATCACTGCGACCATAATTGGCGTCACTCTGCCGGGAAAACGAATGGCTTGAGGCATCTGAGTTATCATTGTCCACCGCATAGACACTTCCTACAAACGTATTGGGGGTACCAGTAGCTAGCCGGGTGGGATGTTGACGCTTCAGCTGGCACCGACCGTCCCGCCCGACACCGTGAGGCTCCCAGTGAGAAGGAGAACGCCAGCTGGCAGAGGTCCGACAGACGCCTCTCCGCTTGGAGTCAACCTCACTGGGTAGCGGTTGACAGCTAAGTGTGGTGCAGAAATCAAATGACATATGTCATACAATTAATGAACAATACAGCATCATCATTATTGTTGTTGATGTTGTAAAATAATGCACACACTACAATTAAACAAGTCCGGTGAAGAGGTTATTGAGTACGGAGCTTGGATGGGTTGGGAATACATGTCCTCGTTTGCCCTGATCCTCATGTCATTACGATTCACCTGCGAGGCAATTAAAATCAGTGCTAATAAAACATTAGAGGCATATTAATTTTTAAAAAATAGAAATTCAGGTCACTAACCTTGGAGAGCATTGGTCCTGTTAATGTTTGAGGTGGGTGTGATTGCTATATTTAGATCTTTAGATCTCCCCCCACCTCCCCCCACTCCCCGGGCCCCCCGGGCCCCCCGGCCAGAGGTATGGTTATGGATAATTCCAAGGGACAGACGTGTCTGTTAAGCAGGTAATGAGTTTAGCAGGGATAAAAGTTTCCTGCAGAACTGTCTAATGATATTGGTTGACAGCAATTAATATAAATGCCTGTGACGGACATGGGCTGTCGTGACCATCGTCACCATCGCAGTAAGGACCGCAGAATTAGAAAGTGCTCGCTCATCTGCCAAACATACTGCCTCTGTGGCTACCACAGTCAGGCATGTTTTCCAAACAGCACATTGTCAGACCTGTGAACTGGATCTCGCTGTCTTTCTTCGGCAGCTGTATATATGTCCCTCACTGGCCTGGGGCCATCGATGTTAGTTCTTGCATCTGGAAGTGATACCTCAAAGTCTACATTGAAGCTGTCTGACCTATGCTTGGACGGCAATCTCTAGTCATATCTGTAAACATTCTTTACAGTTACTGGAGGAAAAAGGCATACGTCTCTGGCTTTTTCACTCTCCTGTCCTTCTTTTTCTTTCTTTTACACACAAACATATACACATGTACAAAGATGAGCATGCTACAATAAACTCAGGGAAAGTGCTTGATTGTCTATGCGGTGGACAATGATTGTTAAAATTGGCTGCATTCATTCCAACTATAAAATGTCAGTATCAACCTTACTTTGAATGTGAGTAACATTTCTCATTGAGATTTTGAAGCCTTCATTATCATTACAAAAAATGCGATGGTGTGAGGGGTACAATCCACTTTCCATCCAAGGAGAGAATGCCAGGTGACTGCATGGGTTTCTCCCCTTTGGTTCTTGAGTTTGTGTGAGTGTTTCCTTTTTCCTCAGAGTTAGCCCAGCTCAAGCGAAGGATTCTTTACACCTGTTTTTCTCATAGTGTAGATTACTTCCCTAATTATGTCCATATTCATATTCGCAAATCCCCCACATTAAATTCTCGTCTCCTCCAGCTGAGTTGTCTTTCCTCGAATATAAACAAGCACGTAATGTACCTGTAAGCCCTTCATTATGTAATTGCACTCACCCATGGCTGCGTAACACCATTTGGTAACCACACTGATTTTACAGCCAGTGTCTTTCTGTTGCCCTCAGATGTACTGTGTCCAAACATGAAGGTGCGGGAAGACCGTTTCAAGCCCAACAGCACCAGCGCTGGCCTCACCGAGGTTCCAGGTAAGGGATCTAGACTGTTATCTGTTGTCATCCCTTTATTTTGTTATTTAACCTATTATCATAACAATGTACAAGGGGTGGACAAAATAATGGAAACAACTACCCGTGGCCTGCAGAACAGCTTCAGTTGTTCTATGAACAGAGGCGGACATTCCAGGTCCAGAAAGTAAAAATCCAGCCCAAGATTTTGTTTCAACCAACCAGTTGAGTACTCTGTGACTGACTCTTTATATTCAATTGGTTGGTTGAAACAAAATCCTGGTTTGGATTTTTACTTTATGGACCTGAAATGTCCACCTCTGTCTATGGATGCTGTCTGGAACTGTGTGGGATGCTGGACTATTTTTCAAGACAAAAAACCTCTACATCTTAAAGGGATAAAGGACATGGAAATATACATTACACTGTCCTCAAGAACTACCCCAGGTTCAATGTTGTTTAGATCTGGTCACTGGGGAGGCCACAGAAAGCATTTGACTTTTTCCTGGTGTCCAGTCCTGAATCTGTTTAGCAGTTTGTACTGTGGCATTATCATCTTGGATTATGGAAATGTCTTGAGAGACCACTGCTCGCACCATAGCGTGCACCTGGTCCTGCAAAACAGCCTCATATTCTCTCACCACTATGAGCCCATGCGAAGCAATAACCAGTCGCAGACCAACAGACACTGATGAAGGAATCCTTGGGCTTCTTGCAAAAGTAAACCTATCAGGATGTAGGAAAAAGGGTGAAAAATGACTGATTAGACTATGTTACTTTTTCCCCTTCTCAGGGGTCTTGGATTTGCAGCTCCTTGTACCAGGTTATATGTTTCTGTGCAGTAGTGGTCTCCAAACAGCAGCCCTGCTATAAATCCCAGCTCGTAATGTATGGGTTCTGCTGAGACTGGGTCACAGAGGTGCCGATGCAATTTGTAGTACATTTGGAGCCATACTTTGTTGTGTTTAACAGCTATTCTGATAAGTCTCTGTCTATCTCTGTCAGTGAGCTTCTACTTCAGACCACTGATCCTCTTTGGTCACCTAGTGTGTCCCTTGACACATACAATATTTAACAACTTAATATTGCTTGCCTTTGTAGCTGTGTTTCTAATTGTGATTTGGTTACTTTAAAAGTTGAAAAAGGTTATAAACTTTATTGCCATGTGTTGCTTTTGTCTGAAGGGCGGCATTATTTCAATGTGCTGCTCGCGCTCTAAAGATGTCAGGTGACTGCAGTTAAAAACATTTTGTTCTGGAGTCGAAGCAGTGCTTCACCAGAGAGGTAGGATGTTTGTCTTTGAACCACTGGGAACCGGAGTTCCAGTCTCGCCACCCACTCAAAGCTTCACTGCTTTATGAGAGCAAAACCAGATGTGGACAAATTTGTTTCCCGGCTGCTGAAGTTGGCCTCACCTTAAATCCAACTGTCTGTCAGTACTCTGTGATGGATGGCCTGTGTCACCCTACAGATATCTACTTGAAATCGAAAGCCAGTTACCTTGTGAATTGCAGCTGCTAGCCGTTGAAACTTTCTAGGGATTGGCTCCCCTAAAGGTGATAGCACTGATCAGGGTCATCACCGCGGAAAAGAGCTCTTCTACAAAACAATGTTATGAAACTTGTTCCAAATCACAGAACAAGTCAAGTTTTCACAATGGCTTTTATATTTAGCCACGAAACCTCCAGTTTTAGTAAGTCTCCCATTTGAACAATGTTTTGACAGCAGAATGAAGAAAATATGAATATAAATTACCATGTGATCGTTCTAAATTGCACGATCAGACTAGAGCAATTTGCTGGTGAACTGATCTTTTTTATATTCATTTCATGCATGTTTAATGCATGCATGTACATATATTGTCACAACCTGAAGTATGAGAGGCAAAGTAACTGTCTTTCTTCAGTCATTCCTTCATTCAGAAAATATGAATTCAGCAAAGATAGTAGAGATATCATTAAAAAAAAGGAGATGGCTTCTGATTGCCCCCAGATCAGCCAGGACTGCGGCGGCTTGTGCTTGTTGTGCCGGTTGCCAGGAAGCTGGGGTTGGACTCCTCCGGAGGTCAGGGCCCATGGACCACATGAAGCATTTCATCTGCTCAGCCAGTGCAGTGCTAATTATGTGGGAAGACGTTTATCGCACAGCACAATACCGGAAGGGGAGGCTTGCTACGGAGACAGCCGGCAAGGACGTCCAGACCGTTTCAGTCCATGTGTAGCAGAGAGAAAAAACAGGCTGCATGAGGGAATCTTGTTTTATTAAACGTTTTTATTATCATTACATCCATCCATCCACCCATCCATCCGTTTTGAAAAACCAGTAACTGCTGTGGTGAACCTGTGCCCATTGCCGGAAGGACAAAGTATAAAGAAGGATACACCCTGGACAGGATGTCACACACACACACACACACACACACACACAC